TTCATTCTGGCTCCTCAGGGGACATCATGTAGACGTTTTGGAAGACCTCAAAAAGACGTCGTTTGGACGTATTCTTGTTTGGTGGGAGCTGGCCAATTATCGGAACCCCAAAGAAAACGGACTATAAATCTATAAGAACTGCAGCTTTTCCCATCTTTACCGTACTCCAATGAAAATAAATAATCTTGCACTCGGGCCAATCAGTCACCGATTTCATACATATTGCGGGAATAATCACGTACACGCGGAACTTCAGATCAGAGTGGAAGAGCGCATCCAATCTATCAGGATAGAAGGTTAGCGATTGATGTTGAAATAAAACCATTTGCCACTGGACGCAAGCGCCCATAGCTGATATCAACAAGACTCAAAACAGGAGTCTGTGTCAGGAACAGTCTGCGGTCACGAAGCAGGCTGTGTTTTTGGGCTAATAACGTCGGACATCATTCTCACTCTCTAGGTGCGTTTTCATTACCCTTAGAAATGCGCAAAATCTAAATAGCGAAATAAAAAACCGGTAATGAAAACACTGTCTGATTTCATGAAATTTGCTCTCCGATCTGCAGTATTAGTCACCGAAACCAAGCCTATTAAATTGACTTTTGGACTTTCGCAGCAGACCAGCTAGTGTACTTGTAATTTCGCGTATTGTGGAGCATTTACATCATTATTGTCAGACGAGCATTTACAAATTTGCCGCGTGCACAACTCTGCTGACAGTGACTTGGTCGAATGCTTTGCATTCTCATCGATGCATGAGTAGCTACAGCCGAGCTGCGATTGGCTGATGGCACGTAGAATGGTATCACAGCCGAGCTGTGATTGGCTGATGTACGTAATGGTATCAACCGACCTGTAAAAAAAAATTCGCGGCCCAGCATAATACGCAATCCGGACTGATTAAATTTTTGGAAATACCTAATTTTCTAATTGAGAAAACAGTATTTTAGAACATTCGTAATATTCTGGAAACATAAATATTTTTCCATACTTTATTTTTCATTTTCCATACTTTTTAATACCTGGAAATTAATCAAATTTATTTCCATACTTTTCCATACTTTCCATACTTGCGTAGGAACCCTGAATAAAACAAATGGGTGGCACTGTCGCGTCAAAGCAAGAAGGTCGTGGCTTTCAATCCGACCTGGGGCCTTTCTGTGTGGAGTCTGTCTGTTCTCCCTTTGTTTGCAGGGGTTTTTCCAGGTACTCTGGTTTTCTCTCGCAGTCCAAAGGTATGTGTGTCTGGCTAACTGCAAACACTAAATTGCGCATAGGTATGAGTATGTGAGAGAATGGTGCGTGAGCCCTGGGATGGATTGGCCAGCTGCCCAGGATGTGTCCCTGCCTTTTGTTCATAGTCAGCTGGGATTGGCTCCAGCTCCTCCACAACCCCAGTGAGGAAGAAGCGGTATAGAGAATGGATGGACGGATTCTAAAGGGTATACCAGCTAATAGAGCACCAATCTTTGACAAAGCCTATGTGCTACCATAATGCATTGCCAATGATCATTCTGTAGTTTTTATCTTATTTCAGTATTTATGTGTTTCAGAGCCATTTTTTTCTTTAGTTGTGAAACCATTCTATTAATGGGGTGGCCTATAGCCGAGTTGTTGGCATATTTGACTGGGTTCAAAGGGCTGGTGGTTAAACCATAGTTTAGGTGCAATAAGGTAAGTGGAGCTGTTCGGGTGTTGATCAACGCCCTTTACCCCACACTGCTCCAGGGGCAATTTTCGCTGCTTTGTCTGGTCAACTGTATGTCTCACTGGATAAAAGTGTCAACTAAATAATAGCAATGTCATGCATCTGTGTGTTTCTGCAGGTTGCCAATCATCAGCCATGAAGCAATATGCTTTTATGTTCTTCCTGATTTCAGGTCAGTGCGTTATCTGTGTCACACATTCATGTCACAGCATCACGGTCATCGTTATGGTGTGAGGTCACAAATGTGTTTATCACAAATGTGTTCTTTACTGTTCTGTGATGGATTGGCGAGCTGTCTAGAGGGTGTTCCTGCCTTTCGCCCACACTCAAAGAAATGCTGGGTTGTTTTTTCAACCCAACTGCTAGGTTGAACCTGTTGGTTAATTTAATTGGGTTATTTTCATTGAATTGGGTATTCTGAGAACCCAATTCGCTAGGTTATTTCTGTTGGGAATGGAGTTATTAGCTGTTGGGTTGTATTTCTATAATGTTGTGTTGGTTTATTTTGGACTACCCAACACCTTGGGTTGACGTTCGGGCATGCGCAACTAAGCACCACCCACGAACTCGACCCCGACAGTTGGTTATGTTTGGACCACTCATCTCATCTGATGATCAACACAGATGCCAAGTCTCACGCATTCGACGTAGGTCCCACGCATTTTTTAGGCTTATTCACCGTAGTCCGCAATTAGTCATCGAAGCTTAATGAGATTCTCACGCGGAGTTAAAATCCTCGTGCATTGAAGTTTCCGTTTCACTTGCATACAGGTGCACCTCATCACAAGTAACATGGAAAGCGATGACGACTCTGGACTTCCTGTGCTTCCCTTTACTCAGGAAACAATGGAAAATGCATGTGTTTCGTGATCGTTTAAATTGTTTTAATGAAATAAGACCGTTTGAAACGTTTTTATGCAATTCCATTGCTGTCAATCCCTCAGTAAAGACAAGCCTGAGAATTCCCGAGTCATAATCGATTTTCGTGTCACTAGTGGGGAAATCCACCGTAAAGCATGTGAAACTGATTAACTTGATGCACAATGACTTAAATTCCGCGAGTGAATTTCATCAGTGCGCGTTGATTGAATAATTGCTGACTACAGAAAAAGTTGTGAATGCCACTACTCACGCCTAAGACATTGAGACTTGGTGTCTCTGGATCAATTCAGTACAAAGCAAGGTTTGTTACATGCCCACTATTGTTTTACCACATAGTTGACTTTATATTATTATATAAAGCTTCATATAGTTGTTAAGATGTAAGTTCGTGAAGCACTGTTGAGTACTAGCTTCAGGAATCGATTGGTACGTTAGCAAGCTAACTGTTAGCTAACGTTAGTAGCATAAACTTCATTTCCTCAAACGTAGCAAGCTAACACGTTAGCTGGCAAGCTATGTAGCAACCAAACTAGGTTGTTGTTACTCGAAATGACAAGAGAAATGCATTATGTATTATAGCTAGGTGGACAACGTTAGTTATCACTTAAGTGGGAGAGTGTTATAAAAATAAAAAATCTTATGAATTAATCTGAGCGCGGTGGTGAATCGGTGTTTTTTAGCTAGCCCGCTGCATGCTAGCAGGCTTCAGCTAGCTAGCCAACGTTAGTCCACTGCATAGATATATACACGTAGATGCCGCATACAGGCTTGTCAGACGCGTCAACACGGCCGCCATCTTGGGCCGGGGTTTCTGACAAGCAGTCAAACCCGGTCAGACCGCTGTGCATCTGACTGGCACCAAAATGCCAGACTTTTGTGCCACTTATGGATGTTCCCGTGAAAGAAACGGCGAAACCAAGAAACAAGGAATAACGTTTCACAAGCGAGAAGTTGTTTTATATTATTTAACTGTAATGAACGTGTTGAATTTGTATCTCTTAAGCTAACATAAATGAAACTAGCTTATTACGAGCTTAAGGTTTAAAAACCCCGGCAGTTTAGTCAATGTGAACCCTTAATTGGGTTATATGAACAACCCAGTTGGGTTGTATAGACAACCCAATTGTTGTATTAAGGGAACCAACCCAATTTGTTGGGTTAAATTAACCCAGCGTGTGTTCTGTCCAATATTTAACCAGCGCTGGGTTGGGAAACTACCCAAATTGGGTTGTTTTTAACCCAACATTTTTAAGTGTGCATATTCCGCTGGGAAAGGCCCCAGCTCCCCTGTGACTCTGATGAGGAAGAGGCAGTGTAGATAATCGATGGATGGATACTCTTAATGTTCTGCAGTTCTCATCAATACTGGTAGCTGTGAAAGCAGTTGAGCTCCAGAACTTATTTACTGATTTACTCTGGAACTTTCGCATGCAAAACACCAAGTGACGTGACCAATGATTGGTCACCTTATTTGTCATTGTTAAAGCACTAGCTGTGTAATTTTTCATGTGCAAAAACATTTTTGCACCTGCTGAAGCTCATGGCAAATCAAGCCCTGAGTTGCAATTTTTGGGAGGGCAGCGTCCCAAAAAAAATCCACTCTCGCATTTTAAAAACATAAAGTACTACAACAATGGGCTCCAGAATTACTGGCACCCCTGACTAGCAATGCACAAACAATACAAAAAAAAATAATAATAATAATTTTATATATATATATATATATATATATATATAAAAACAATATAACTATAGGGAAACAGAATATCCCTGTAGGGGTGGTAGGGTTTGGAGAACCAAACGCAACAGGGATGGGTGATGTCTAAAAGTCAAGGGAACCCTGACCACTAGGTCCAAAAAGGACTGCAAAGAAATTCCAAATAGGGAGTAGTACTAGAACCAAAACAACCCTTAAAAAAACAAGGGCGAAACTGATAAATATATTAGAATAGGTTTGCTCTTTAAAGACCGTAATGCAAATATCTCTCCGACTAAGCTTGAACGTAAGGAACTGCAGCGTAAAAGGGGGCCCACGAAAGCAGAACTGCTCAGGGAAATAGAGAATTAAACTTAAAGGATACCCCTAGAGAAAATGCTGCAAACCACTGGAGGCCGCTGTAGATCGCAACGAGTGTGTACTGAAAATAGCTCTGGTAGGAGAAGAGCAAACCCCTACCGACCTAAACCCCAGAGAACAGATCCCCACTGGATACTACCCAGGAGTTAAACCCTTTCCCAGGAAAATAAATTCCTCAGGGCTGCAACCCTGACACAAACGAACAAAAAGAAAACTGCGGGGTCGTAAAGTCTCCCGTCTTAGTTCAGTAGGAGCTCAGTGAAATATCATGGCAGAGGGAGTCCCTGGAAAACCAAAACAAGGTCACGGATACACAAGGTGAAATAATTGTGTGGCTTGGTGGCACAGTGGTTAGCACTACTGTCTCATATCAAGAAGGTTGTGGGTTTGAATCCAGCCTGGGGCCTTTTGCATGTTCTCCCCGTGTTCGCGTGGGTTTCCTCCGGGTTCTCTGGTTTCCCCCACCCACAAAAACATGCATTATAGGAACACTCCTACCAGTACCCCTGACCAAGGAACTGGCTTTAGAACTGGAGTTGGTCCCTGGGCGCTGCTCTGTAGCTGCCCACGGCTCCTAACTATAGGATGGGTCAAATGCAGAGCACAGATTACCCCACGGGGTTCAATAAAGTATATCTTATCTTATCTTATAATGCCCCTCTCCTTTGTCGGAGCTCCAACGTATTCTGAAAAGAAATCTAAGTGGGCGCAGAACGTTTACAATTCTTTTCTCCCAGTTCTGCGAGACCGCCCACACCGAACTACACCAGGAAAATAAAGAAAGCTAAGTGGGCACAGAATGTTTACAATTCTTTTCTCCCAGTTCTGCGATACCACCCACACTGAACTACACCAGGAAAATAAAGAAAGCTAAGTGGGCACAGAATGTTTACAATTCTTTTCTCCCAGTTCTGCGATACCACCCACACCGAACTACACCAGGAAAATACAGAAAGCTAAGTGGGCACGGAACATTTACAATTCTTTTCTCCCAGTTCTGCGATACCGCCCACACCGAACAACACCAGGAAAATAAAGGAAGCTAAGTGGGCACAGAACGTTCACAATTCTTTTCTCCCTGTTCTGCAAACTATACCAGGAAATAGGGTGACTAATCGGACGCAGAACAAAATACAATTCTTTTCAGAAAGTACTGCAATGCCGTCCATACCATTCTATACCTAATGGCTTCAGCGCTTAACGAGCAACACTGAAGCACAGACTGAAGGAGCCGCAGAGCTTAAAACAAAAGTCTCGGGGCGGAGCGTGTAACGAGAACAGGGATCACCTGCTGCTAATAAGTAAATCAATGCACCAGCAACCTCACGAATTAACTTGCAGCTTACAGACCCAGAACCATTACAGTCCCAACAAGTGTAAAATACTTCATTAATTTTTAATGGAAACAAGGAAAATCATAACATTCCTTTCATACAAAATAAATTTCAACAAAATCTAGGTTTCATAATGATTGACACCCTTCATTTAGTACTTAGTGCAACTACCTCTGGCCAAGATAACAGCATGGGGTCTTTTCCTGTCATTTTTGACAAGGATAAGGCAAACGTTTGGGGGGATTTTGGACCATTCATCTAAGCAGATACTTTCAAGATCCTGTACATTCTTTGGTTTACATTTATCAACTTCCCTCTTCCACCCCGCCCACAGGTTTTCAATTAGATTGAGGTCTGGTGACTGAGATGGCCATTGCAGAACATTGATTTTGTTGTTACAGAACCATTTCTGTGTGGATCTTGAGGTATGCTTTGAGTCATTGTGTTGTTGGAAAGTCCACCTGTGGCCAAGTCCCAGCCAGCTGTCTGGTGAAGGCGACCAGATTGTCAGACAAAAGATACTGATACTTGGTGGAATTCATGATGCCATTAATCCTCACCAGTGCCCCTGGACCTTTTGAATTAAAACTGCCCCAAAATATGACTCACCCACCATACTTCACTGTGGGTATGAGCTGCTTTTCCTTGTATGCATCTGTTTTGACGGCAAACAAGCCAATGCTGTATCTGACGGAAACGTGCAATTTTGGTCTCATCAGACCAAAGCACCTTTTTCCAGTCATAATTTAAATGACATTTGGCAAACTTAAAGTGCTTGCTTTCGTGTCTTCTGGTCACAAAAGGCTTTTTTTCTGGCAACCCTTCCAAAGAGCCTTCGATTGTGGAGGTGGCGCCTGACGGTGCTTTTTGAAACTCGGTGACCCCAAGATGCCACTTAGGCCTGCATTTCCCTCACAGTGATTCTTGGGGATTTTGTTGCTTCTCTCATCATCCTCTTCAGTATCCTGGGGGGAAAAATGCAGTTGCATCATCTACCCTTGAGGTTTTCAACAGTTCCATATCTTTGGAATTTTTAAATAATTGCCCTGACAGTGCTCAGTGGCATATTCAGTCGTTTACGCGTCTTCTTGTAGCCATTGCCAGTTTTATGAAGGTCTATGACTATCTGCGTCTTTTAAACTGACAGTATTTTTGTTTTCTTCATGATGCTGGATGACAAAGGGATATTGCATGTTTGTAACCTCAGTTTTATAGTGTAGTGAAAAAGGAAGTGATGTAATGGCTCAATAGAGTTCCTTAACACTTTGATAAAAACTTAAATAAGAGGAATTTAATTCCTGGATTAATTTTGGTTGATGTTATCTACAGTAATCTTCAAGGGTGCCATTAATTGTGAAACCTTGATTGAGAGTAAATAGATTTTTAATTAAGTTAGTAAATGACTTTGGCTGGTTCCAATGGGACATTAATATTGTACAGTATTTCTCACACGTCATTATTTAGAGTTTTTAGAAATACATTTTTTTGAATTTTCTAAAGTATTTTGTGTGAATTGCCAGTCAGGGGTGCCAGCAATTTTGGAGCCCACTGTACATGAATATAATATAACACCCTTCAGTCACGTTCTGTAGGCTTGAGCTGTTTCCTGCAGGAATGAGTGCATTTATTCAGCCCTACCCATGAATTAGCAGATTTGTTTTTGAGGTCATTCTGATAAAATGAACAGAAATACACTGCATAGCGGAAAGTATGTGGACTCCTGTTTGTCTTTAGTTAATTTTAATGCTTTGGGTTGGGCCCCTGGCAGGTTGAGCCAAGGAAGGACAAGCTGGCCGCGAGGCCCACGGTCTCCCGTCGCCACTGATATTAAATAGGAAACTGGTTCATAATCTAATCTTATACGCAGAACATGGAGTCTGTAATCCATTTTCTTCTTGAGTTATCGTGTTAACGCCACTTTTCGGACGGACGGACACATGCACGGACGGGGTGCATTCCTATGTCTCCCTTTCGCCAGAGGCGACGGGAGACAAAAATCTTGATGCTCAAGCAAACAAAGACGATCCAGACGAGTGGCTGAGAACCAGAGTCTACTAACCAACAAAGTGCTTTCTGTAAATACAGATATTTGCCAGATCGTTAATACTTCTGTTCAAAAAAACTTGTCAAATATTTATGATTTTAGCTTAGTCAGAGGGTGCTGCACACACCGAACTCATTTCGCACTAAATGCTAGATAGTAGACTCTGGTTCTTACTCTTTTCTGCGGAATAATTAAAACTCACCTTGACCTGTTAGAGACTTGTCTGGAGGAGGACCCAGGTTTGTTTTGCCTCCACACACAGTTAGGAGGGTTACTGGGATTAGTTGCACAGATGGTTAAGAATTGGCAGCCAGGTACATATCTTGCTGATTTACCTCAGTTTTTAATATCGTTGGTTATAGGTAATTTGCCACTTTTCATGCAATTTTATGCTTTTTTAAGTTTAGAGTTTGAAATTTAATCCATTATTTGCCACATTCCTGCAGAAGATGCATTTTTCTGGGCATGGACAGATTTTTCTGACAGAATGTGATTTAAGAGTTTAAGCCTCTGGGGTCAAAGCCATTTTTTCTGTTTTAGGTTCGCCTGGCCTCCTTGTGTAATCATGCTTTTACAATCCAACCCTGCAATCTGTTATCAATTTACATTCATCATTTTTTTCAGGACAACCTGGGCTAACAGAATATTGTAAAACCCAAGCGACTCGACCAAGGGAGGAAGAGCCCGGGCTGGAGGTATATGCGTGTAAATTCCTAGTATGAGCACGCGCGACGTCCTGGCTGGTGCGAATCACAATAAAATGGATATATTTCTCCGTTCAAGGACGGGCACAAAAGCACAACGGTTACAATTAATCTGACTCCATAATAAATTTATAATAATGAATTTAGTTATACCCTCGTTAAATATCTGACTCCAAATTAGAATTAGAATTAGAATCCATAATCTAGAGAAACCTCGTGTGTCTCGGCGACTACACCTTCAACTCTTAGGATACTACGCTGTCGCTAACATGTACTCCGGGTTTTTAGTACTGTTACCGGATCCTAGGTTCGTTGGTTAGATTAGAGGTTGGAAGTCAGCCATCACTGCAACAGCATCTTTTGGCTTGAATACAGCGAACCCAGATCTATGCAAGCCCATGGGTTCCTTCAGGGTATTTTAACAGATAACCGACTTTTTTCGTCCATGGGTTTCCTTTAGGCTAAAATCCCAGAACCGCAATACATAAACCCTTTATGTAAGTAGATCATGGTTGTCTCTCCAACTTAATAAAACCAATATCCAGAACAGGCCGCTGGCCAGTCGTACCTCGGTCAGGATTATACCCCTAGGTATCCGTTGCAACGCGGCTAGAAAGAATAAAAGGATTAAGAGTCACGGAGACCACGCAAGCTTATAGGAATGACAATAATTTATTCACCAGGTAGGCAAAAGCTTAAATCAAACAAATCAACGTTAAGCCAATTACAAGTTACACATAATTTAGAAAAGGAGAATAAAGTCATACCTGGAGGAAAAGGATACGCGCACTAACGTGGCGGGAAGTTCGAAATACGATGTTACATCATTGAAAAGGCTACTCACGCACTTATGTGCGCGGGGACAGATCGGATACGATCTTCCCAGAATGGATTGTTTCTCTTTGCTTTAAGCCAAACCACATCTTTGATCCAGGCGGCATGGCCATAAACTCCTGGAAGGGGGGTCGAATCTGGTTTTTTGGGTTCCCCCCATGGGGAGGAGGTAATAAAACACTTCAGCAGAGAGAGGAGAATAGGGTGATTACCAGAGAGTATTCTGACCAAATTCTCATGAGTTTCCAAAAGGGAATGAACCATAATTTCAATGGGAATGAAACATACTCCATTCAACTCCTTGGATTCCCCCGAGAATAACAAGACCAAACATGATATGAATATGTACTAATATGATGCAGTTGTCATGAAAAAGTCTTAAGATGAATTAATATATAGTTTAATTGGGTTATAAGTATATAAGTGCTATTTGGATATATAAGAACATGATTTAACATATAAGCACATTATGCACTTCCCAGTGGTTTAG